CATCATTTTAATGAAAATGAAAGTTATATGATTTTGCCTTCAAAACCGATTAGTGGGTCATATCTTAAACAAAATAACAGTGATTTAGTTTTTCAAACCCGCATCATTTTCTTAAATGAGTAAGTTCATAGCTGGTCACGTGACCAAAACGTGATTCTTAACTTATGAATTACCTCTCTCTGAAAACAAAATGTTGCACTTAAACTTCAAGGAAAATGTTGAAAAGGATGATGTGGTAACGTTTACAGCACATCTGAACGTAACTAACAAACGTTTAACAAGACACAAGCAAAAAGTAGTTTTGGCCGCCATGTTGGAGGACAAGAGTATGCCCTCCAACATGGTGGCTAATACAAATCATAGTACTTTGTTGAAAAATTGAAGTACCATAAAATATCTCCCTTAAATGCGTTTCCTTTCAAATTTCGGGTCAGTGTAAGATAATTTTTATGCGCAGCGCGAATTCACATTTTAAGTGACGTTTTCGTAGCCGTCGCCGTCAGGTGTTTGCAAGAGGGACCTTAACGATCCGACAACGGCGACGTAAATGAAAACATCGCTGGAAAATAGACTTCGTATTCTTTTAAACTTTTTCGCGATTATCCCAATTTGCCTTGTTACTTAAAAGAAGGGAATTTTGGTTGGAGCGGAAGAGAAGGAACCGCGGCCGATTTCAGAGAGAGATGGTAGAATTTATCGCCTTGCTGTTCCCGTTCCCGTTGGTCATTTCAAGGCGTAGTTGTGCAGGGACGGGAAAGAAATGTGCAAAAAAGCATGATGCACGAGCAGAGTTTTTTTTTGCTCATTAAACCTATTGCTTTTATGACGTTCTCGTCGCCGTGGCAGTTTCGTAAGGTCGCCAGATAGAGCTTAAAGGTAATGTTTCACGAGACGATTCGCAACGACGACTTTTAGCGCAACGCAGCCTTGCAATATTGTTATGACATTGTTTCAAATTGTTACAACATTGTTCCAACATTGCAACGCTCTGTTGCGCTAAAAATCGTCGTTGCGAATCGTTCCGTGTAACATCACCTTAAGCAACGACGACGGCGAAGGCGACGGCTACGAAAACGTCACCTAAAAAGTGAATTCGCATTGTCTCAAATTTTATCGCGCTTACTCCATCTCGTTTAATTCGTCAAATGTTGACAAATGTCTTTGAAGTTGAATTCTCAAGCATTGTATCAAATTTCAGGAAATGAAAAAGAAAATTGTTGTTTTGTGTTTCCGTCCTCGACAAAACGTGAAATTAGGCATTTTCACGTTCTAATCATGCAACGACGGCAAAGAAATGTACAAAAAACTGAGCGTGATGCACGTACAAAGCTGTTATTTTGCTAACCTAAAACCTATCGGTTTATTGCCGTCTTGTTGCCGTAACCGTCGTCGTTGCTTTCGCTCCCTAGTAAAACGCGGGGTTGGGGTCTATCTTTTAAAATTAATATTTGATTTAAATGAATAAATAAAATAAATAAAAACGATTTGGAGGTTGCGATCAGGTGAAGTAGTCGATTGGCACTGCACATAGTGGTTCTTCGTCTACCTGATTCCTGGTCGAATTGGAATTTGGAAATGTTGGTTTTTGAGGAAAGGGGAAAACTGGAGTAACTGCAGAAAAACGTCTCAGAGCAAAGGAGAGAACCAACAACAAACTCAACCCACAAATGGCGTCGACGCCGGGATATGCACCATGCACTGCACCACCCTTGCTCGACCCCCTTGCTCCTCATTTTCTCCTCTAATATCTGAGTGAATTGTAAAAACCGCTTTGGCTATTACATTAAAAACGCTGTCAGATTGGTAACTGAAAGCCTGAGACATAACGAAAAGTTCGCAACGTGATATACAGAGGATGGGATGGTAAGTCCGTGATAAAATCAGTGCATTGTAAACAAGAGAGGACAATAGGACAGAAAAGAAAACTTTCAATGATCCTTTTTTAGTGTGAGACACATGGCACCAATGCAACGACGAATAATGCTCGGAAAACAAGACAAACGCTACCTGAATAGAGGTGTCCGTTCAATAAAGGTAACAGATACCCAGATTATGTGGACGTTTTTCCGAGACAAAATTTTGTGTTCCCTGAATAGAGGTGTCCCAAAGGATAGGTTCTACTGTATTTGTATATTACGAATTGGAAATAACTGAGACAAATTGTTCCGGTTACCTTAAACTTGAAGATCTGGAGTGGTGTAGCTAACATTGAGACCCATGGTCGAGAAAAAAAATCGAAAAAAAGGGGAGCCGGGAGGTTTAGCAATTGTTTATTTCTCGTCTTCGATTAAGTTTTTTTCCATCCTCATTACCTCATATTCAGTTTCCATCTGCCCTTTTCTTTCTTCATTACTGTTTTTCAAATTCTCTTTTTAACCATTCGCAATTTTGAATCCGCTATCAGCAGGTATGAGGTCTGCTTTAAAAACTTGCCAATTCTTTGAACACCTCAAAGGTTGTGCCTCATTGCGACATTAGGCTGTATTCATTGTGTACACCACGGGGGGTGGGGAGGGGGGGGGAAACAGAGGATTTTTGGGGGAGCCTTAAAATTTTTTGAAGGGAAAAGACGGGTGGTAAAAAGTTTTGAAGGCAGGGAGGGAGGGATGCCAATTTTTTTAGATGCCATTGAAAGATTATGTATTTGTAACATTATTGATAAACCACTACGCAAGTGAAGTTACTTGTTTTCTAGTTTATTGAAGGATGTTTTTATTATTAATACACTAAACTGCAATGTCCTTTACTTTGTGCATTAACCATCTCTATTTAAATTGTCATTATCACCTTTACTTTTATCCTGCTTTATAACGTCAGGGATTGTTTTCATTCTCATAATCGGCATCATCATCATTGTCATCATTTTCATCATCAGCACCATCATTATCATCAAAATTAACCTAGTTTTCTCACTTTCAAAGCTTTTAAAGTTATGATTTAGTCCTCAGCTTTTATGTTCCCAAGATTTAAAATCAACTTTCGCCGCTTAGAAGGAGTGATAATGATCAGTAATATTTGTTTGTTGGCTATGCAGTTACGCTGCAATCAGAATGATATACTTGACTATTCTCACTGCATATATAATGAGCGCGACACGGCAACTCGTTAAATTCTTGCTTGGTAGCCTCGGGTATGATCCTTCGTTTGCCCCTCCGGGCATAAAATCCGTCTGCGTTGCATGAAATCTCACAGTTTGACGGGATTGCCTCTTGGGGTACACTTTGTGCTTCGCTCTCCGTGGTCACCGCCACCAGGCTACTATTCTTTCTTTGTGTCAGCTTTTCTCGTCTCCCGTTATGGCTGAACTGGCTTTGCCGCCTTTCCAGGACCGTGGCCGCGAACCAGCAGAAAACCCAGTTGTTGCGGAGCCGGCTGTCCCACTCGCCGAAGCCGCCGTCCCTCCGGAGGGAAATGAGGTAATTTCTTAATCCATTACTTGTTCGACGCTATTCTTCGCTTCGCTTGGCCGCCTTGTATTTACCTGCATGTCGTTGGTTTGTTTCTCTGCGTTTCATCTTCGAATTTCGGTTTTATGCGCTTGTAGTTTTCTAAGTTAGCGTTAGTTTATATGTTGGTCGTTCGCTTTCCCAGTGGACTTTGCTTGCGCTCCTTTGTTTATATATTCCACCTCCGTTGTGGCTGTGACTGGCGGCACATGATAGCCGTGGCGATGAACATAATAACAAAACGTTTAATGATACACGAGGCTGAATCAACTCACAAGTATCATCACAAACATCCGTTAGAAAGCTTTAGAAATCCGTAGCACGAGAAAGAAAAACTGAAACAAACGACTTACAAAACACTTGGGAAACTTAAAGAAAACCTTAGTGAAACTTCAGGTTATTTCACGGTGGCCTCGTGCCCGCCAATGTCGAGGCCCCGTGCGCATGCTCCTAATAAACAAGGGGGTAAGCCCGCTGGTCAGGATACCAGCAGTTACATCCGTATTTGCAATATTTTTCCTCACGCAGCTTCACGTCATTGTCTTCCGGACTTATTTTGCTTACTTTTTGCAACCCCCCGATTTCGTTTTTTTTTTCAGTTTATTGTTATGCATATTTGTATTACTCTGTTCGCTGGTAGCGGCGTTCGTCTTTGTTCTATGTCTTTCGCACGCTTTAGTAGCTGTGGTATTTTCGTGTTGCAATTCGCGCCTTAGTTTTTGCTCTATGGTTTTCACAATTATCTATTCACAATTGGGTTATTTATCAGGAGAGGGTGACAAAAAAAAAGGTGAGGACGAGGACAGATGGCAAGAAAGAAGTAGAGCGTGGATAACATGGATAAATGGCAGGAGGATAGTTGAAAAGGAAAGTAAGGAAGAGGAAAGAGGGAAGGAGAGAAGTAACATGAAGTAACATGGAGCATGGATAAACTGGAGGAAAATGGTTAAAAAAGAGGAAAGGTGGAAAGAGAGAAGTAGAACATGAGTAGCATGGAGCGTGGATAAATTGAAGGAAGATGGTTAAACAAAGACAAAAAAATAAAAATAAAGTAATAATAATAATGATAATAATGAAAAAAATTTTATTGACAACAATGCTAACTATTAAAATCCTGTTTACAATTAATTCGCTTGAAAAAAAGAAAAAGCTATTTATTCAAAACACTATTTACAATTCCTTTCGATTTAAAAAGCACTTTATTTAGCTTAGAAAGAGTTAATTTAACTAAGAAAAATTTATTCGAATTAAAGACATTTCATTTCAATAAAAAAAACTGTCTGCCTCTAAAATTCAAAAGTTTCTTTCAACTGTTTAAAAAAATAAAATAAAGACAATTAATAAAGCATCTATATAATAATAATAATAATAATAATAATAATAATAATAATAATAATAATAATAATAATAATAATAATAATAATAATGAAAAAGCATGTGGACGGATAGTCCGGGTCAACAAAGGGGAATAGGGGTTTGTTTGCACCCCTGTTCGGTTCTGGTCGACCGGATAGTTGGTGTGACTTTCATGCGGTTTTGTTTTCTGTTTCTCAGCCGGTCGATCGTATTCGGACCTTGGCGACGAAGTTGAAAGCTTTAGAGGACGAAAGAGCTCGTAGGAGTACGGAAGATACACTGGTGGCTCTTCGCAGGCATCTGAACCGCCCGTTAAATATGTTTGATCGTTATGAGGCAGTTAAGCTGTTGCAGTCTTTGGTCCGTCTCGCCAGCAACGAGGCAGACGATATAAGGCTGGCGAGTACCCCGCAGTACTGGATGATGTAAGGGCCAGGGCAGATCAACTGGACAGGGAGGCTTTGCAGGGGCTTCTCACTGGCCTTTTGGGTGATCCGGTTCGCGCCGGGATAGCGAAGGAGGCCACTTTCATCCCCAAATCCTCATCCATAGTCTTGGTAACCCCGTCATGTGGAGCTCAATACAGCCGCCCGAGGCCTTACAGCAGTGTTCGTTGCTTCGCCTGTAAACGCTTTGACCACATGACGCGCGACTGTTTTCTCGCAGCTCACTTATCGTGCTCCCCGTGGTGGACATAGAGGCGTTAGAAATTAGCGTCGAATTTACCTTTTCAGCCTTTTGAGTAAACGATCCTCGTATTTTCCTTGTTTCTCTGTCGCTTATTGCTCGGCGTACCGCGGCTGCGTTTTTCTCGCGCCCCTTAGATGTTTCTTAATAAAGTTTCTCTGGAAATCAGTATTGTTGGGCTATATTATATGAGCATTTGTATTGTCTCGTTGCCATTTGGGCTTATTCTCTCATAGTTAAGTTCCCAAATGGGGGGGGGCTCCAACTCTGCTTTCGTTGACCTTTGGGGGGGCCTTCCGTGTGCCTCAATTAAGGGCTTGGTTCGGAGCCTGGGGGTCATCGAAGGGTTGGGTTCCCTTCTGTTTTTCCTTTTCGCAGCTGCTTATCTCCGCCTGCTTCTGCCTTGTTCTTATGGGTTACCCCGTTTTCGTTTCGATGAAAGCTTAACGATGCAGTTAGGGCCTGTAGGGCAACCGAGCCATCTTGGTGTGCCACTGTCGAGGGAAACCCGCCCTTCGTTGGCCCCCTTGGCCCTCCTGTCCATGGTGGCGAAGAACCCAGCGCTTGCAAGCTTACGTAATCTTCGGTTTCGGGATCCAGTTGACATTCAAGCAGGTTCGTTACATGCACATCCCACAGTTTGGGAGGAGCTGTTACATGGGGTCAAATATAAGCACGCTGACCTCATGGCCATTATTTACGAGGGGGTTAAAATTCAACATTTCTTTACCCACTTAAAGGGAGATTTCCGTGGTAAAAGATTTCATTTCGATCGTCCTCCTCCTACGGTGCTGGAAAATTGCAGATCGTGCGACGGCTTTGCAGATTTTATATCCACTACCGTATTGAAGTGGGTGTCGGCCAGTGTCTTGTCGGTCTGGGGCGAGGTTGGCCGGGTCGCGCCGCCCCATCTTGTTCTCCTCCTGACGGTTGAGCCCTCAAAGCCTCGCTTATGTCGCGATGAATGTTGTCTCAATTTGTGGATAAAAGACCTCCCCTTTAAACTGCACCATTTATCGGACTTGCTAAGGTATGTCCTACACGTCCATTACCAGACTTCATTCGATGAGAAAAGTGGTTACCAACCTGTTAGTCTCTATTCGTCTTCCCGTACTTCTTTGGACTGTAATGGCAGGGTTTTTACTTCGTATTTTGCACATTACCTTTTGGCTGGAAAGCGAGTGCTTTTCTTTATCACAGTTTGAGCCTTGCAGTATCTTGCGCGGCGCGTTCGTTTGGTGCTCCCCTTTCGCAGTACATCGATGATCGTCACGTCGGTCAGCTTTTAGTGCAGTCGCCGGGGCAGCCCTGGACCCCAAGTGTCCAAAATGCTGAGGCGGGGGCATACATTCTGTGTTATCTGCCACGTTTGTCACATTCCTTGGTTTCATCTGTGATTCTATCCGGCAAGCATTCTTGCTGTCAGAAGGAAAGAAACTCAAATTTAAGATGCTCAGAGAGAACATTTTGGAATCCAAGACTATGACAATGAAGACCTCTCAGTGTTTTGCTGGTAAAGCCGTGTAAGTGATTTGCTATAATCACGTTACTTTTCGTCGCGTAACATCTGCGTCGTAGTTATGTAACAGTTATTAACGCAGATATTATCTTACACAATCAACACAATCGTACACTCAGAAAGACAGGTTATTTGGAAGAGAGAAAGACACGTTTATTTTAGAGTTTTTAAAAGAGTTCAGATAGGAAAAAGAGGTATGTTTTCGCTATCCCTTATTTACACACGTCATGTAGTTTGATTGTATTCCATATTATGTTGCTGATTATCCTTAAACCTTTTGAGTCGTTAATTGTAAATTTTATGTTGGGTTACGCCCCCATTTTTTGCGTCCAGATATATTTTGGTTAGTTATAGATATTTCGCTGTATTGTTATTTCAGTTTTTACGTGATTCCAAGCCACATTATTAAAGAATTATGACAGAGTAGACTGGCTTTTGGTGGAAATCGTTGTAAAGGCCCTTATCCTCGCGTGGTCAGAGAGTAAATTTGTGTTTGTTTACCGATCGACTCACCTCTGCCCCCGCTACAGTAAAAACTCTTTGTCAGTAAACGCATGAGACGATAACGTATTGATTACACCGATCTAAGTAAAATGGCTACTGGCTATGATTTCCAGAGCACTAGCGGATCCTCTCAGAAAAGAACTCGCAAACAGACAGCAAAAGGCAGGGAATTCCAGAGACAATTGCATGAAGATCAAAGGTCTTCCGCCCAGCGTGGCTGGCGTAGACAGATAAATAATATCGAAAACTGCCTCGCTGACTCAACCGATCCAAACAAGTTGCAAAGCGAGAGAAATTTTCTGGAATCTAAAATGGATATCTTAGTCTCTGCGCAGGAACGATTTCTAGACACCCTGGAAGATTCAGAAGCAAAGCGTGTTGCGCAAGATAAATTTGAGATGTGGGAACGAGAGCACTCAGATGCACTAAAACGAGTTAACTCGAAAATAACAGAGCTTAAGAACGAGAACCAAAGCTTACTCTCTTCAGTGACAGCTTCTTCAGGCCGCAAAAGTAAGGTCTCACTTCACAGTGCGAAGTCACGTTCGAGCAGCAAAATATCGCATTCATCAGCTATAATTGATAAGAAAACGGAAACCGCTGTCAAACTCGCCAAGATAAAGACGGAATTGAATTTTGCAGAAGGCGAAGCAGCAAAGGTTGCAGAATTAAAGAAGTTTAAGCTTACGAAGGAATTAGCTATAGCGCAAGCTGAAATGAATGCCATCACTAAGGTAGAAGAGAGAGAGCTAGGCTTAAACGACGGAAATGACGGAGCCATATTACCCGGATTTATCACTAAAGACGATCTCCTACAAGATTATCTCGTAACGCAAGCCTCTTCTGTAGCTATAGACAGCCCTTCAACTGTGCAGACAGGTCTAACGGAAACAAAAAATCCCCTTCTGCTAAGTACATCTTTCCCGATCGCAAAGTCACTTGAAAACGACCAACTGGAACCGAGAATCGAAGATTCTAATAACCCTGGATTTCCTGTGATAAATTACCCATCATCGTTGAATCCATTCGCGCAAGAATACGTCGCTTTGACAACGCCTGAGAAAGCGGAGCGCACAAGTCTGCCTATCGCGCAATGCAAACAATCGACTCCAAATAGCATGGGACGAACAACTGGAGACGTCCTCGAACGGTTAGCTGACCTGATGACTCAGCGTTACGCGCGGGAGTCGTTGCCGCTACCCGAACCAGAAACTTTCAAAGGAGATCTTTTGCATTATCCTTCATGGCGGAAATCCTTTGACACCATTGTGGAAAAAAGAACCGACAGTCCATCTCAGCGTCTCTATTACCTTGGAAGATATACAGCCGGCGAAGCCAAAGAAGCAATAAGCGGCCTTCTTACCTTGGAAAGCACGAACGCCTACCACGAAGCTAGAAAAATATTGTCCGACAGATTCGGAAATCCGTTCCTCGTTGCAAATGCCTACAGGAAGAAAATAAATGATTGGCCTAGGATTCTTCCTAATGACGGTATAAGTCTTCGAAAATTCTCAGACTTTTTGGTTAATTGTCAGACAGCCATGAAAGAGATTCATTATCTGACGGCATTGAACGATCCCGAAGAAAATCAGAAAATGATCAGTAAACTTCCGCGAAACATCTGCGATCGGTGGGGCCGCGAGGTGGATCATTGGCTTAACATGAGAGGACAAGAACTCCAAGAGCCAACAGCCACAAAGTCTCCCTACCCCCCTTTTTCGGCCTTCTGTGACTTCCTGAAACGCGAAGCTAGAATTGCCTGCAATCCGGTGACAATGGCAAGAGCTGAGGAAGAGGCAAAGAAGGTGGAGACGTCTCAACAGAGACTTGTAAAATTCGGCAACCGGAAGAAGGAGCCGTTAGGAGCGAACAGCCTCGCTACTGGCTCAGAAGAGGTGAGCAACGGGAACAAAGGTGAAAGAAAACAACCTGAACGATGTCGCTTATGTAAGAACACCCACAATCTGAATGAATGCGACAAGTTTAAGAAAATGTCGCACACGGAAAGAATAGAATTTGTCAAGTCCAATGGTCTTTGTTTGGGGTGTCTCAAGTACGGGCATATGAAGAAAGACTGCCGAGGGAAGAAGGTCTGCTCGACTTGTAAAGGTTTCCATCCAACGTCCTTACACACAAACGTACCGAAACCCGAAGGAAAACCAGGAACGTCTCCGAAGAACTCATTCGCGGAAGTCACGTCACATCGCGTAAACACTCACGAGCCTGAGGACGGTGGCTTTTGCGACTCTCACTCCTTAATTGTTCCTGTCTGGCTTTACCAAAGAGGCCACCCTGAAAAGAAAGAATTAGTTTACGCCCTCCTCGATGACCAGTCTGATGCCTGTTTTGTATCGGAAGAGATCCTTCAGAAGTTAGCTATTTCCGGACCTCAGGTTCAGCTGAAGCTGTCAACAGTGTTAGGAGAGGACTTCGTTGCTTGCCAGAAGATTAACGACCTCGTTGTACGTGGTGTAAATGAAAATCAAGAGGTTATGCTCCCAAAGACGTATTCGCGGAAAGAGATCCCAGCCAAACGAGGCCAAATTCCAAGACCTGAAACCGTGAAGGAGTGGCCTCACTTAAAGCGTATTGAAGAACACCTATTGCCGTACCAACATGACGCTTATGTGGGTCTACTGATTGGGGCAAACTGTACCAAAGCAATAAAGCCAAGAGAGGTGATTCCTGGCGCCGATGACGACCCGTACGCGGTGCGAACAACGTTAGGATGGGGCGTGATTGGAGTGATCAACCAGTCAACCATAGACAGCCAGGAAAACAGCCATTGCTCCTGCAATCGCATAGTGTCGCGAGAAATTGAGGACAGCCTCGTGAAGACTGTAAGTCACGTGGTAGCAAAAACTTCAGCTAAGGAATTGTTCGTACCAGCACAAGTTAACAGAATGTTCGAGCGCGATTTTAGCGAAGTCTCTAAGGAAGAAAAGACGCTCTCGTTTCTTGACCGAAGATTCTTGAACACTTTGGAGTCAAACACCCAGCGCCTGAGTGACGGTCACTACGAAATTCCCTTGCCACTAAAGGAAGAAGGATTGAAGCTACCAAACAACCGAAACTTGGCATTAAGCAGACTCCATAGACTCAAACACAGACTCAAGAAAGAGAGCAAATACCGCAGTCATTACGAGACCTTCATGAAAGACATGATCGACAAAGGACAGGCTGAGAAGGTGCCTGATAACGAACTTCATTTAGATAACGGCCGTGTTTGGTACATCCCGCACCACGGAGTATACCATCCGCAAAAGCCAGATAAGATCCGTGTTGTCTTCGATGCCAGTGCAGAGTTCAATGGAGAATCCCTAAACAAGCATCTCTTGCAGGGTCCCGACTTGACCAACAATTTGACTGGAGTCCTCTGCCGTTTTCGCAAGGAAACTGTCGCCTTTACCTGCGACGTAGAAGGAATGTTCCACCAGGTGTACGTCCATCCTGATTACAGAAACTTTCTAAGATTCCTGTGGTGGGACAAAGGAACCCTGGAGAATCAGCCGGCCGAGTTTAGAATGAAAGTCCACCTCTTTGGTGCTGTATCGTCCCCAGGGTGTGCGAACTTCGCACTGAAAAGAACCGCAGACGACTTTGAGGAAGTATTTGGCAGAGAACCAGCAGAATTCGTGAGGGATGACTTCTACGTTGACGACGGAC